ATTCACAATTGATGGCATGTTTAAAAGTTCTTTGTATTTTTCAGATTCTCCACATACCTTGCTTGACAAAGGAAACTTCACAAATCCCGAAAGTACTGTGATAGGCGTGGCCAGCGATGATGGATCGTGTGTGACTAATGCCATACCGGGTATATAAGTATAAGAAATCGCACGACCTTGAGTACAATTTGGAATTAATAGTCACGAGTAATGTTTTGAAAGTTCTTCGTAATCGCACGAGCCCAATTAGTTAGAGAACTTTCAAAACACAACGAGAGGCTATTAAAAAATATTATGTTGATGAATATACTATATGAGTTTCTTTGTTACCTTCCTTGCGTAGTACAACGTCATTCGAGATCCTTTGCTCGCCCTGCTTGAGTTTCGTGTAACACGAAATTATGAAAATTGAGCGAGTATTTCAATCCTGATATCCAAGCAATCCTTTGTTTTTCTAACGAGTTTTTGTTATCAATCAATCAACTGCATATAATTTTGTGTATTTCAAGTAATATTTTTTTTCTAAAAAATGTAAAAAGAACATTGAATAAGATTGTGAATATTTTGTATATCAAGATGGCGGCAAGACCAATTGGACGGCCAGGATGACCGAAGCTCCCAGGTTCCCTAAAAACCATCCGATTACKGGACTCGGTGTTCCGTGTTTGGAGAGATACAAAAGAGACCCTGGGCTTTGAAAGGGGCTCAGATAGCGAGTTTGCAGAACACTTGCTTCAGCGAAGGTGAATTGGACATGGTATCGCTGTTCGGTAGACATTTTGGGCATTGCGGCTTCGGGTACCGGCCGAATCTTTTGTATTTTGAGACATTGATCATAGTTTCTAGTCGGTTTTTGTAGTCCAAATTTTYTTGTCTATCGATCATCTTTACTTTGTGCTTCTCATTCACAGACCTAGTGTCACAGACCTTTTATTAATAGAGCATAAAACAAAGCTTTCATTTTGAAAACAAAATCCGATAACTCGGGTATAAGTTGGCCTTGAATTTCAACTTATACCCGAGTTGCCGGATTTTCTTACCTCAGAAGAGCTGGGAARACCTTGAGTCTTCTAAATATGACCCATAAGAGTTTACATTAATTACATTCCCTTGATTTTCTTGCTCCATGCTCGTTGAAGAAAATTCGGCTTCAACGAAAACATTTTCCCGCCGACTTTGATAAGTGAACGCGAGCGCAAGCCTCGACATCATGACAATCAAAACAAAAATAAAAGCGCGCAAAGGATCTCGAATGACGGTGGGCCTTTAAATAATGGCTGATTGTTGTCATTTTGTTTATAGTCTATAACCAATCTCGTACCCAGCCAATCTGGTACTCAGAACCCGTGTTACTTTTGGTCTGCTACATAAGCTCTCGTTTCTTGTCACATACCAAAAGAAGCGCGAGCTTTGTGTACAAGATTGGTACCCAGCGCCCCTAACCCTCTTACTGCGTAATCTCGACTCTGTCTGATCATAATGGATGTCAAAAAAGTTTCTGATAAGATAGATTTATCATTTAAGATTGAATAAATCCCTTTCCTGACTTCGAAGGCTTTCGTTAAGCMAATTTTCTTGAGTAAAATCAGTCAAATAAAGCCGTTAGATCGGTTTTCTACTGTGCATGGGTGAAATAGCCTGATTCTGCTGGCTTCCGGTATTCGTTTTTCCAGAGCCGAGGTTCTTTGTCGAAGATCAAGGGGAGCTCTGGGTACGAGATTGGTCTATAGCATMAACGGCTGGTGATCAGCATTACATGTTATTTATCTCTTTTCTTGCATTTTTTTTTCGAATCTTATTCATCCTTTTTCTCAGTRTCTACTGACATTGCTTGTATTATTGTTTTAGAACTATCGAATGCTCCAATCAACATTAAAAGTGACAGCATAACCAGAGAGTTCTTTCTTGATGTTATCAATCCTCTATTACCTGTAGTTAGCCACTTGGCTAGTTCTAAACGTTTCCTCCCATTTTACAAGAAGGCTGTTATTCAAGAGTACACTCCGTGGTCCAATCTCAACAAAACACGTCAAAACCGACGCATGATTCTTGACTTTTTNCGCAGGGTGCGTTATCAAGTGAAGAGATTCTGAACACAAGCCATTAAGACAGTAACTGCTTCCGTTACAATATAAGTGTTCGTTTATCGCGTTTATTTATAGGTGTGACTGTTAGTTTTATTCCCGCAATAAGTGAGTAGTAATGTGCTATAAATGGGCATCAGAGACTGATACGTTTTGTTTTAAGTAGTACAGATAAACAAAGTTTTAACAAATGTTTTGAAATAATATATCTATTAGATAGTATATGAGGTCGCCATATCAACGAACGTTACGGATCAAGTTTTTTATTTACATGGACTTTGTCGAAAACACTTGCAAAGAAAGCAAGGTTCCTACGTAATAAATTTACAAATACAATTAACTAGACTATATAACATGATAAACGATATTAAAGAGAAGGTAAAAGGAAAATACTTACAAACAAGCTGTGCGACGTACTCGATACTAAGATATGACAACACTGACTAAAATATTCAAAACGAGCGCTAATAAACTGAACTAAATTTGCATAGAACATATGAAACAAAGGAAATATACAAACGTTGACTTAGGCTAACGAATACAATGGYGGACACTACTTAACGAAACAAAGACAAAAGCAACGAAARAACGCTGTTGGCGCTATGGCGCTARCGGTATACATAATTAGAATTTCTGCAGCTCAATGAAAAGACCACCGATCGTTAMCACAAAATGATATACAACATGAATACATACACMTTGTTTTTACAGCGGGAATAGATCAAGTCAGTGTGAAATCTAATAGTCTTTGTTAGTCGGGCTAGCYTATGGCTAGGCCGACTTTAGTTCTACCTTTTAGTCAATGTATCTATCTATCGTGTCGCGTTTGGTCAACCGGAAGTTCAAATAATTGAAGGACTTCCGGAAGTTATTTTTAAAACATTTCTAATTCGAGTTTCCTGTGTAATTACGTCACCGTGACATCATGTATTGTATTATGTCATAATCTCTTTTCCATAACGCCATCTCCTATGGGCCTACACTGCTTCATAGCAAGTAACTACATTTTGCTTGACTTATATACTAATATTTTGGCTTACTGAGAACAAGGTGGGAAGTACTGTTATTCATGAAACAGATTGAAAATATTACGAGCATGCTCAGAGTAGTAAAACTTCCATCCCAT